TGGCTGGGTACAGTGGCTCATGCCTATAGTCTCAGCACTTTGGGAGGTTGAGGCGGGTGGATCATGAGGTCAGGAGTTCAAGACCAGCCTTGGCCAAGATGGTGAAACCCCGTCTTTAGTAAAAATAAAAAATTAGCTGGGCGTGGTGGTGGACGCTTGTATTCCCAACTACTTGGGAGGCTGAGGCAGAGAATTGCTTGAATGCAGAAGGCAGAGGCTGCAGTGAGCTGAGATTGCACTCCAACCTTGGCAACAGAGCGAGACTCTGTCTCAAAAAAAAAAAAAAACAGATTGACATTTGACTGGGATGGTTGGAACTTTCAGCCCCACCCCCCAGCCTCTGAGAAGGGGAGGGGGCTGGAGATTGACCTAATCACTACTAACAATTTAATCAGTTATGCCTATGTAGCGAAGCCTGCATAAAAACCCTAAACGATGGAGTTTGGAGGGCTTCCAGGTTGATGAGCACATGGAGGTTGGGGGAAAGTGGTGCCCTCAGAAGGGCATACAAACTCTCTGTACCTCCTCCCCACCTCTATCCCTTACCCTACACAGGGCATCTCTTCCATTTGGCTGTTCCTGAGTTTCATTCTTTATAATAAACCAATACAAATAAGTAAAGTACATTCCTGAGTTCTACGAAATGTTCTAGCAAATTATCAAACCTGAGTAAGGGGTTGTGAGAGCCCCCGATTTGTAACCAAGTTGGCTGGAGGCACTAGGGGCCAGGGACTTGCAATTGGTATCTAAAGTGGGAGGCAGGCTGGGTGCAATGGCCTCTTATCCCAATTCTTTGGGGGGCTGAAGCAGGAGGATGGCTTGACGCCAGGAGTTCAAGACCAGTTTAGGAAACAGTGAGAGCCTATCTCATTAAAAATAAAGAAAAAATAAAGTGAGGGGCAGTCTTTTCAGACTGAACCTTTAGTCTGTAGATTCTGATGTCAACTCTGGATAGTTAATGCCAGAACTGAATTGAGTCTTTGGACATCTAGTTGGTGTTTGCAGAAAACTTGAGAATTCCTTGGTGTGGAAAACCCATACATCTGGTAGCCAAAGTGTTCTGAATATAGGAAAAAAAGTGGTTTCCTTTTACAGCCCCACTCTGATGACCTCATTTAACTTTATTCCTAAAGACCCAAATACAGTTGCATTGGGAGTTAGGGCTTCTATATATAAATTTGATAGTGGTGGGTGGGGAAGTGGGCACAATTCAGTCCAAACCTTTTGGTTAAAAGCTTACTAAAATTATTTGTATTATAATTTCAAGGATGTATTGCAGGTATATCTGTATAGAGTATATTTACATAGATTCTAAAAAGATGCTCCCTTGGCTGGGCGAGGTGGCTCATGCCCAGCAGTTTGGGAGGCCGAGGCAGACAGATCACCTGAGGTCAGGAGTTCTAGACCAGCCTGGCCAACATGGCAAAAAAACACATCTACTAAAAAAAATTACAAGAATTAGCTGGCAGGGTGCGGTGGCTTATGCCTGTAATCCCAGCACTTTGGGAGGCCGAGGCAGACAGATCACAGGGTCAGGAGTTTGAGACCAGCCTGGCCAACATTACAAAATCCCATCTCTACTAAAAATAGAAAAAATTAGCCAGGCATGGTGGTGGGCACCTGCGATCTCAGGTAGTCGGAAGGCTGAAGCAGCCACCTCACCCAGCCTCAAAAATGATTTTCTTAAGCTTCCCTGGAAGTTCTAGAATTTCCACCCACGAGCATTTTTTGAGGGGTGGGATGAGAAATCTCACTAGCATCTAATGCTTTTATTCTCCTTGCTGAAGTCCTTCTCTTCGAGTCCAGACGGTTTTGATCTCCTCCCTCACAGGTGGTGGTAGTGGTGCAGTTAAGGAACAGCATGTCATCCAATTAGGCAGAAGCATAGGATGGATATGGGAAAGCAGAGACATCAGGCAGGAAGATCAGATGGTAATAAAATTGTGGAGAGCTTTGGATGCAGTGGAGAGTCACAGAAAATTATGAGACAAGAGAGGAACATAGGTTGAGAGCTATAATTAAGGAAGAATAATCTATTGGTAGTGTGGATCTTTCTGAAATATATTTGAACACACTTTGTAGGGCAACAATATCCAAATAAAGAAATTATATGATTAAAAAAATAGGCTAGGCATGGTGGCTCATGCCTATAATCCCAGCACTTTGGGAGGCCCAGGCGGGGTGGATCATGAGGTCAAGAGATCGAGACCATCCTGGTCAACATGGTGAAACCCCCGTCTCTACTAAAAATACAAAAAATGAGCTGGGCATGGTGGCGTGTGCCTGTAATCCCAGCTACTCAGGAGGCTAAGGCAGGAGAATTGTTTGAACCCAGGAGGTGGAGGTTGCGGTGAGCCGAGATTATGCCATTGCACTCCAGTCTGGGTAACAACAGCAAAACTCCATCTCAAAAAACAAATAAACAAACAAAAAAAAGACGTGGTGGCTCATGCCCGTAATCCAAGCACTTTGGAGGCCAAGGTGGGCGGAGCACCTGAGGTTGGGAGTTCAAGACCAGCCTGACCAACATGGTGAAACCCCTACTTAAAAAAAAAAATAATAATAATAATAATAAATTCATTTTCTGGACTTGAAGTCCCATATACGTGAACAAAGTACAAGGTACAATTGTTTTACTCATGTGAAATTAGAAGGCTAAAACGATGGAAGATAATTTTCTGTAAATCCACGATGATTTGAAAAACTTCAACCTAGTGGCTTTGATCAAATTACATGGAATTGTTTCAAAATTAGTGTATTCAATTTTACCTCTTAGTTTTCCTTCTCTATCACCACTATCTGAGGAATAAGAGGGACTTACCTTTAGTAGGCTTGAATCCTGTATACCACCTAAGTAATGAAGTTTTAGCATATTAAGGGAGTTGATTTTGAATGCAAAATTAGCATATTAAGGCAGTTGATTTTGAATGCAAAATTTCCATTCCTAGCATGTGATTTTCAAGGTGCAGTTTCTTTTTTCTTTTATTTTCTTTTACTTTTTTTGAGATGGACTTTCGATGTTGTTACCCAGACTGGAGTGCAATGGCACAATCTCGGCTCACCGCAACTTCCACCTTCTGGGTTCAAGCAATTCTCCTGCTTCAGCCTCCTGAGATGCTGGGACTACAGGCGCGCCCCATCATGCCCAGCTAATTTTTATATTTTTTTAGTAGAGACAGGGTTTCACCTTGTTGACCAGGATGGTCTTTATCTCTTGACCTCGTGATCAACCCGCCTCGGCCTCCCAAAGTGCTGGGATTATAGGCGTGAGCCACGGAGCCCGGCAATTTTTTTTTTTTTTAATAAAGACGGGGTTTCACCATGTTGGTCAGGCTGGCCTTGAACTCCCGACCTCAGGTGATCCACCGGCCTTGGCCTCCAAAGTGCTTGGATTACAGGCGTGAGCCACCGCGCCCGGCTCAAGGTGCAGTTCCAAAAATATACAAAACGGTTTCAATTCTGGGGAAGGAGGGTTGAACTTTGGGGTGGTTGTTTTAGGGGATAACAGTTAAGTCTGAATTTTGAAGGAACTAAAACAAAGGGAACAGAGTGTGCAAAGCAGAGTGGCCTTAACATTGCTGCAGCACGAAGCATGAGAGTAGCGGCGACTTCAGCTTGGGAGGCATATACCACGGAATCATGGAGGGATTTGTGAATGGGTGGACATGTGGGATAGACTTCTGTTTCTGGACCCACCTAGGTCAGAATCACTTGAGATGCTGTCAAAATTGAATAACCAAATAACCGAGGTGGACCAATCACCTGCTTTTCATTAAGCTTCTCAAGTGATTCTTATGCAAACTAGGTTTAAGAGCTACTTCCGTGCAAACAAACAAACAAACAAAAAAACCCCAAAATCAAGCTTAAACTAGAACCAATGTGAGGGGTGGGGAAAGAGCCGTTGAAGGCATGTGATTAAGGAAAAGAACCTCTCACTTGAGGCCTACGGAGACTGTGTTTAAGAGAAGGAAGGTTAGATTCCCTAGACCTCCCCCATTGCCATCCTACAGTCTCCAGGAAAATTGTGATTTTAGCAAAGCCTTTTATGACCCATCACATCCTCCTCTAAAGTCCAGTACCACTTCATTCGTTTTGAGAAAAGATATTTATATGCACTTTTTAAAGTTAGTGTGTACAAAAGCTTGTTTTTTCCACTCCGTTTCTATTCAGGGTCCTTAAAAGCTGCGCCATTTTTTGAATGAAAAATGTGCGTAACTTCTGATGTCACTGTAGAGAGGTAAGGGAGAAAATAAGAATCTTGAAGTTATTTATTATTTGGGCATAAGTATTGACGTTTATTTTTACTTAATGACGCTATATTTATGCAATAAAAACATTTCCCAATTTTTATTAATTCCTGGGAAAAGGAACCACTTTTGTTCACCTAAAAAGCAAATCACTGGCTTTAAAAATTAATTTCACCTTTTTCATTGGGGAAACAGTTTAAAAATTTCCAACTTGCACTAGAACTTCCCCCCTTATTCTTAATGCTCATTCATTCTAAAGACGAGTAAAACTAGGTTGCAAAATCCATGCTGCCTCTAGACTACCTCTTGCACACAGTATTTTAAAAAATTCTTCTCTTGTTTGCTCTTCGGTACCTCCACTCCTTCCTCCTGTGACCCTCCCACCCTATTTACTCCTCCTACAAGACCCGGTCTCCAGTATTAAAACTAGTTTTCCAAGCAGTTATTTAATTAACGGCATGGAGTAGACAAGCGGGGTCCCACCCCGTAGGAGGAGCTAACACCGCGGACCGAATCAGGGGTCTGGTCGTTAACAAACGAACCCTTAATCTTTTCAGAGGAGGAAACACACACAAAGGCCCAATCAGAGGCCTCGGTTCCAGGAGCCCGGAGAGGGCGGGGCTGGGCAAGCACCTCCCACTTCCCAACCTCCCGCCTGCTCCGGCAGGCCCCGCCCTCTCGCCAGGAACGGCCGCTATTGGGCGGCGCGCTCCTCGCCGAAGACTCAGTTGCTGGGAGAGGGAGGGCGGGGGCGGGGCCTGAGGTGGGCCGGGGGATGAAGAGAAAGGCGGGGAGGCGAGGGCGGGCTGGGCGGATTCGACGAGCGCCGCGGCGGTTGGCGAAGCGGCCGGGGTGCAGCCTCCCCGGTGCGAGGAACGGTCTCCGCTGACAGATCCCCTTCTTCCGGCCGCGCCACTCGGGAGGCGGATCCCGGGGGCCTGAGGAGGCTTCCCCCGCCCGCCTTGCTCTCACCTCCTTCGCTGGCGCTGCCGCGGGTCCACCGAGCGGCCTCTGAGGAGCAGCCGCAGGAGGAGGAGGAGGTCGTCGGGGGCGGCGGGCGGAGACCGTGCTCTCGCTTCCCCGGCGGCGGCGGGGGCAGGACAATGGAGGTGGCGGTGGAGAAGGCGGCGGCAGCGGCGGCGGCGGCCTCAGCGGCGGCCTCTGGGGGGCCCTCAGCCGCCCCGAGCGGGGAGAACGAGGCCGAGAGTCGGCAGGGCCCGGACTCGGAGCGCGGCGGCGAGGCGGCCCGGCTCAACCTGTTGGACACTTGCGCCGTGTGCCACCAGAACATCCAGAGCCGGGCGCCCAAGCTGCTGCCCTGCCTGCACTCTTTCTGCCAGCGCTGCCTGCCCGCGCCCCAGCGGTATCTCATGCTGCCCGCGCCCATGCTGGGCTCGGCGGAGACCCCGCCGCCCGTTCCTGCCCCGGGCTCGCCGGTCAGCGGCTCGTCGCCGTTCGCCACCCAAGGTGAGAACCGGCCGCGGCCGCGGGGGAGCCTGGGGAAGGGGCTGGAAGGGGGCGGGCGCCCTTGTGCGGCGCGACCCGCTGTCACGTCGCCGCCGCCCGGGGAGCGCGGCGGGGGAGGGGCGAGCAGGAGGGTCTGTGCTGGCGACGGTGACATGGAGGGCCCGCGCTCTGCGGCGTGCCGCGCTCGGCCAACAACTTCCCCGGGCCCTGTGGACTTGGTTGCGCCGCCGCCGCCGCGGCTGCTCCGCGTTCTCTGGAGCCGAGCGGCCGGTGCCGCCCGCACTTTCGCAGACCTCTGTCCGAGTCTCCTGCAGCCAGAATCTCGGGTTCTTTGCCGGCTGCAGCCAGTTAACTGCCACCCGCCAGCTGCCTCCGCTAAGCTTTGTGCAGGTCCATATGATCCTGATCATCTCGTCTATATCCACGTTATTTGAGCTGGAGGGGGGAAGGGAGGGATGAAGATGAAGTGATGGTGACTTTCTTTGATGATTGCAGATAGGATGTCATTTATTTGTCTTGCATGTTTGGGGCTCTACCTTAATGAGTTTCCAGTTCTCTCCTCTCTCCTCTGCTGGGGACAAAGGAACCAGGAGACGTTGTTTTGTTGTTTGTCTCTTTCAAAGGTTTTATTTTGAGACAGTAAAGAGAACTAGTACAAAATGATTTGGAGGGCAGGGTTTTCTGGTATTTTATAGACAAAGCTGGAAGTTACTGTTCTCTTTGTGATGTTTTTTGCTGTAAAATGAGACTTTTGACAGGTAGTTCTCATTGCTAACGTTAACAGGTTTGAAACATTTAAAGTAAGTTTAAGTAAGTACAGTTTCGGGTAGAACACTTGCAGGTTTTTTTAAATTTTATTATTTCAAATGTTTGAGCACCTCCTTTTAAAAAATAGTGTAACTGGAAAAACATTTTTAATACTTTACAGAGGGAATCGTTGATTTAGTTTGAAATAAAATGCTAATTAAGTAATTACACTAGGTCAAGGGGTGTATGAAATGGATACTTTAAATAGATTGTAGCCTGCGACTCATTTATTTAACTGCATGTTACCAGCAGTAACCACTTACAGGAGACAATTTTCCATAGGTCTCCGTTTCTTCGCTCTTGGCAGGGAGATACTGACTGCCTTTTGTTTCTATTTTTTCATGGATATTCTCTAAAGAGCAGCCTTGTAAGATACAGTGTCTTCCACCAGAGCAAACGGCAGGGTAATAAGGTTAATGTCTCCCCCTGGAGCAAAAGGGTAGGCATGCTTACTGCCCATTTTAAAAGATTAGGGTTCCCTAAGCTTACGGTTCCTCTCCTGTAGAGAAGGAACTGCCTGGATAGATGTCAACTGGCTCTCTTAACTTTGCCCAATAGGAACCTGGAGTTTTCAGAACTAGTGCAAAAATCTTGATGTTTTGGCTTATGCTGTTCTGTGAGTTAAAAAAAACTGCCCTTTGTCTCAGACCCTTGAGTGTCTTCTGTCACCATCCATGAAACTGGTAAGGTTATTTTTTGGCTTGCAAGTTGGACATATTCTCAGATCGTTCACACTGTTTTGCTCTGAAGAGGTCCACGACTGGAAAGTTTGTACAGGTGAAAGCTTAAATCTTAATTCTTACTTCTTAGACGTATTTTAAGATTTCTTTTTTTTGAGACAATCTTGCTTTGTCACTCAGGCTGGAGTACAGTGGTGCGCATGATCTCAGCTCACTACAACCTCCCCATCCGGGTTCAAACTATTCTTGTCTCTCAGCTGGGCACCACCACACCCAGCTAATTTGTGCATTTTTAGTAGAGAAGGAGTTTTGCCATTTTGGCCAGGTTGGTGTCGAACTCCTGACCTCAGGTGATCTGCCTGCCTCGGCCTCCCAAAGTGTTGTGATTACAGGAGTGAGCCACCCTGTCTGGCCTCTTCTATTTATATTTTAAATGGTTAAACAGGCTAGTAGCCAATTAAGATCTGAACTGTGCATAGATTATAGAATTTTGATGTATTGTTTGCATCATGGCCATGACATGTGCACTTGAATTAATGAGAACATGGGTCATAAAGTTCTCATTCTAAATTCTGAGACAGGTTTGGGATTCCATATTTCTCAAAATGTTGTATGTAATTACAATCCGAGTTTTTGTTTTTTTTTTTAATTTTTATGCTGTATTGTAAGCAAGAGTTAAAAGAAAACATTCAAGTTGGAAGATGTTTTTGTTTTTACACTAAAGAAAAAGGTTTTAACAAATTATACTTAAAAATACACCTCTAAAAGGATTAGTAAATTAAAAATGCTATCCTGAGTCTTAGGGATGGGTATTTTCTCCCTTTCTCTCTCCTTGTTTTTATACTTACTTGTTTTAATATTAGCTGAAGCAAAAGTTTAGACATTTCTTAATGAAGTAACAGGTTCATTTGATCAAATCAGTTCTACATTTTCCTAATAAATTGTGAGTACAAGCATCATGAGTCAAGTAATATTTATTTATTTATTTTTTTTTTGAGACGGAGTTTCACTCTTATTACCCAGGCTGGAGTGCAATGGCACAATCTCGGCTCACCGCAACCTCCGTCTCCTGGATTCAATCAATTCTCCTACCTCAGACTCCCAAGTAGCTGGGACTAGAGGCTGCGCCACCATGCCCAGCTAAGTTTTTTATATTTTTAGTAGAGACGAGGTTTCACCGTGTTGATCAGGATGGTCTCGATCTCTTGACCTCATGATCCACCCGCCTCTGACTCCCAAAGTGCTGGGATTACAAGTGTGAGCCACCACGCCCGGCCGAGTAATATTTATTACACAAGGGTAAGCAGGTAGTTGGGATGGAGAACTGTGAGCATTGGGGTAAAATGATAGGAAATGGTGGGGAGTGCAAGCAGGAGGCAGACTCTGCTTAGCTATAGCAGTTTGTCATGTGGGTGCAGGGCAAGTATTAAAGAATCTTTTATTTAATGCAAAGTCTGAATCTGGATTTTTGAACAAAGTTTTTCTAGTGTTAGACATTGTCAGGTAATTAAAAATGTGTGAATATTTATACACATAAATATGTATGCACACAATTACTTTATGGGCCCATGGCCAAACAATAGGTTATGAGGCCAAATATGTTATAGTTCATATACTTTGTAGATTTCAAAAACTGGAGATTTTCAAACGTTAACACTACTAGAATCACCTAAAAAAATTTTAGATTTTGGCTGGGCGCAGTGGCTCACATCTGTAATCCCAGCACTTTGGGAGGCCACGGCAGGCAGATCACAAGGTCAGGAGTTGGAGACCAGCCTGACCAACATGGTGAAACCCCGTTCTACTGAAAATACAAAAATTAGCCATGTGCAATGATGCACGCCTGTAATCCCAGCTACTTCGGAGGCGGAGGCAGGAGAATCGCTTGAAACCTGGGAGGTGGAGGTTGCAGTGAGCCAAGATCGTGCCACTGTACTCCAGCCTGGGCAACAGAGTGAGACATCTCAAAAAAAAAAAAAGTTAGATATTTAGGTTTCTCCCTCCTGAAATGCTGATTCTACCTAATCTGGCATAGTTTCGGAATTCTAGAGTATAATATGGTTATACTCCAGAGTTGTTTCTTTAATGCAAGCAGTATTCTAAAACAGTTTCTGATCTAGTTTCCCTTTCTATAAAATACTTTTTCATGCTCTTTGTTATCCTAAATTAATTACATTTGAAAAAAGTCCTTCCTAATACATTTTTCTTACAAAAGTAAACATAATGTTTGAACTGTTTTAAAGGTGAAGTAAAATGAAGCAAATAACAGCAGAAAGTTATAATTTATAAATGCTCAGACAAAATATCACTAGCCACCAAGTCCCCATTGAGAACATTTGTTTAAAATCTTGGTTTTACTGTCCTTTTTTGTCAGCCCACATGTTGGATGGGATGAGGGTAAATGACTACAAGCTAAAGTTGGATGACTTCTTCAGTCTTGACTGTCATTTTCTTAGTATGCAGTTGTATCTAAGAAAGGGGCAAAACTTCAGGAAATGGATTTTCTTTTACGTACATTAAGAAAACAGACTGATCTTAGAGAAATGTTAGGACATTGTGTAGTATTTTGTGTTGTTAATGTACTGTTCAGCTCACGAGTAGCAAGCTCTGAGAGTTTGAGAGCATTTTTTCTCTCCATACCTAAAAGACAATATTGAAGAGTTATTTTTAACATACTGAGAACATAGTTGTGAAAGGTATCAAATTATTTGGCTAGAGAGGGTAATATATAAGACTAAATCCCCCGGCCGGGCGTGGTGGCTCACGCCTATAATAATCCAAGCCTTTGGAAGCCAAGGCGGGTAGATCACCTGAGGTCAGGAGTTCAAGACCAGCCTGACCAACATGGTGAAACCCTGTCTTTTTTTTTTTTTTTTTTTAATAAAAAGACTAAATCCCTTTTCCAAGATTTCTTTACTAACTGGTGGTATACAAGATGTGTAACTATTCTGGACTAATTTCTTGGCAAGAAGTATAAATCATCTCATGAGTGCAAGCTTTGTTGGCAAAGGATTAATATTTAAGAATGATCTGGCCAGGCGTGGTGGCTCACGCTTGTAATCCCAGCTCTTTGGGAGACCAAGGCAAATGGATCACGAAGTCAGGAGTTTGAGACCAGCCTGACCAACATGGTGAAACTCAATCTCTACTAAAAATGAAAAAATTAGCTGGATGCAGTGGCAGGTGCCTGTAATCCCAGGTACTCAGGAGGCTGAGGCAGGAGAATGACTTGAATCTGGGAGGTTGAGGTTGCAGTGAGCTGAGATTGCGCCACTGTGCTCCAACCTGGGCGACGGTAAGACTATGTCTCAAAAAAAAAAAAAAAGGTCTATGTAATCTGTCAGTTCTATACATAGTTTATTCACCTGTTGGTAGAAATCAATATTTTTTTTTAGTTTGGGGCTATTATGAATAAAACTTAGAGGTATTTGTAGAAAAGTCTTAATGTGGATACACTGTCATTTGCCTGAGTAAATACTTGGAGTTTATTGTATAATATAATTGTATCATATA